AGAATTATCGAGAAAATAACGAGAACTGACAAATACATCCAGTTACTCATAGAATTATCGAGAAAATAACGAGAACTGACAGATACATCCAGTTACTCATAGAATTATCAAGAAAATAACGAGAACTGACAAATACATCCAGTTACTCATAGAGTTATCGAGAAAATAACGAGAACTGACAGATACATTCAGTTACTCATAGACTTATCGAGAAAATAACGAGAACTGACAAATACATCCAGTTACTCATAGAATTATCGAGAAAATAACGAGAACTGACAAATACACCCAGTTACTCATAGAATTATCGAGAAAATAACGAGAACTGACAAATACATCCAGTTACTCATAGAATTATCGAGAAAATAACGAGAACTGACAAATACACCCAGTTACTCATAGAATTAATGACACTTTCATAGAGATTGTTGTTTGTTGTAAAACACAGAGCTATACAATGGACTATCTGTGCTCTGCCAACCGCAGGTATCGAAACTCGAATTTAGTGTTATAAACCCAGAGACTTTTCACTGCACCACCGAGGGTCGTTGATAAAGAGCTTCAGTATGTTGAGATGACTATCATTTTATCAGTTTTAAAAGATCTATAATTGTAACACTTTAGCAATAAAAATCACAATAGTGACAGCCAAAATATATTTAAATGTTGAGAACAGTTTACTTAGACTTTAATTTCCCGGTGTATAAACTAAGAAAGATGATTAAGATACGAAATAAGTGGGGATGACAAGTAAGACAATGAAACGAGATTGTTAATTTTGTTTACGCTTCAGTGAGAATGACGAGAGTAACTTGGAAAATACAACTAGTAAGTTAACCGAAATTAAAACTTTATATTGCTTTTTTTTTCAGCAATTCATCAGTTTGCTGTCATCCATCTCGCGAGGTCCAGTTACAGAAAAACTTAAATGGATTTTTGACCTATATGACATTAACGGAGACGGATTCATCAGTAAGCAGGAGATGTTGCACGTGGTATCTTCTATTTACGAGATGCTTGGTCAGTACACCGAGCCTGTAGTTCATGAACATTCTGCTAGGGAACACGTTGAGCGAATTTTTCACGTAAGGGACCGTCAAGTAATAACATTGTTTTCAAATAAATGCTATTGTTTATTACTATTTTAGCTCAAATCAACACATATCCTACCTAGTATTTACTAATAACCCCCTTTAAATTCTAGAAAGAAATACAGTGCTTTAGCTATTTTTAAGGGTTAGGCCCGGAAAATGTTTTTTTACGATTATTGTAAAATCCTTTTTTTTTTCAGACCAAGTGTACTTATTTAAAAAACCTTCCTCGATTTATATTAATACTCTTCATTGAAAATGAAATATTATTAATTTCTTTTACAGATAACATTTTATTAATTTGAACCATTATTTACAAAAAACACGTGGAGTCACGTTAATGAGATGGGCGTAAAACTGAGAAAAACATTGTTAATTTAAGGCATTTCGGGAATAACTCGGTTCTCCCTTGCAGTTTTGTGTCATTTCTCGAAATCGCTGTCCATTTTATAGGTAGGCCCAAGGTGACAGCGAGGAATGTAGAAAAGGCTCGTGAATTATTACATCACCTCAATAGGCTTACGTTCGTGGCTTTAAAGTACTTTCATTTATTTTTTAACTGTATATGGTATATTTTTTATGCCATATATATATTTTGTAGATAACCAACACTAATTGTTTTTGTTAAAATACTAGAGGAAAATCCAGCTCGATACCAAATGAAACTGACGAATATGTCGGACTGCTATAAGACGTTTACTTTGAAATATGATCAATTTTTTTTATGCCAAATTATAATTTAGTAGCGTTAAGTTCGTAAAAAATGAGACAAGTCAGCCAGTAGTTATCGTGCCTACACTGTGAAATTGATGATTCGTGGTTTGCGTACCTTTGCCGCACTTTGGAGCCATATGTGCGTTATAAGAGTGACAGTCAAATCCAAGTATTCGATGAGAAAAGAGTGGCTCAAGAGTTGGCAGTGAGGGCTGTCAGCTAGCTGTCTTCCTTCTAGTATATCGGCTCAAAGTTAGGGACGGCTATGCTCAAATAATCCTTGTGTAAGGCTTTTCGCGAAATTCAGAAACAAACATTAAAAAAATTATAAAACAACTAAATGCAGATGATAAGTGTGGAATTCGAATAGCTTTTTTTTTGTCCAGATTAAATTCAGTGGTGGGATTATTATTATTGTCATTAGAGGGAATATTTGGTCTTGGAAAAATTTATATATGAAGAGTTGCGAGTTAGTTATTTTTTATCTAATGAAATAGTAACCAAGGTGTAACGTGTGGTGGAGTGTATTATCTGTGCTATTCCCACCGCGGAGACCAAACCCCGAATTATTTGCGTTATAAGCTCCCGAGCTTAACGCTAACGGAAGGACGAGTACAAGAAAGAAAGCCTAATATGCCAAACCCTGAAAATACGAACCGAATTCGTTATAAATTAGCGTCAATTTTATTCTCATAAATAGATGTATTGTTTGTTTGTTTCGGATATTCACCGCGAGCTAAACAAGAGTTATTTGCGTTAGCCGTCCCTAATTTTGAATTGATAAGACTTTAGGAAAGGCAACTAACTAGTCAATAGCACTTGGCTCCCTCTGGGAAAGCGGCACACTTACAGACACAGCAAATGATGGACACAAACTAAACAAATAACTGTACTTTTTGCCAATTGTTGGGTTATTGTAATTAAATAGTACGATTTGTTTATTTGATTTATTGAATTTCTCGCAAAGCTACACGAGGGCTATCTGCGCTAGCCGTCCCTCATTTAGTAATGAAAGACTAGAGGGAAGGGAAGGCAGCTAGTCATCACCACTCACCGCCAACTCTTGGGCTACTCTTTTACCAACGAATAGCGGGATTGACCGTCAC